AACACATTATAACTACCTGAAGTATTGAGCATAACTAGTATCATGTGATAGAGCCTCTAAATGATCCTCTTTCCCGACTAAATCGGCAAGTAAGTGAGACAACATTTTCAGCGCCTTCTTTTAGTGCCTAAAGACCCCTTAACTCGATTAAGCCTAACTTGAACTGGTCCTTGTCTTCTTTGAGAGTAAAATGTAACTCAATTTGGTACCAAAACCCCTCTTTGCCTGCGTTTTTCCTTGAAGAAGCAACATCATCTAGAGCAGACATTTTTACACGTGAAAAAAACGGAAGCCACCATGCCCAGGGCACCGCCTTTTATACCGCACCTTCTCGTTTAAGTCTAAAATAACACAGACACACATGCCTACACAAACCTTTTTTTATGTGTGTCCCCTTTCTATTCCTTCTCTTATGTGTTCCCTTTCTATTCTCTGATCAGATGCAAGAGGCTGAGGTTCAGTTCTTGAGGGAACAGAATGAACTGCAAATAAAGAGAGCTAAAGACCTCAGCAACATTGAAGTATATAATAATTATTTTGTGCTGTTGCTGTGGTTTCAATATAAATCATTTATAAGCATTATTGTATTATTATGATAATTTATGTCAATCTATTACAATAGGTGTCTAAGTTCAGTACATTGGTTAGTTCTATGGGTAAACAGACTATATCCCGTATTGCTAAAGCTGGACCAGAATCAAAGGTACAGTATACAGTAATACAGTGTTTGTTCACATTGGGTGGGTTGGTTTCTGTTGAGTACTGGTCATGTGATTCTTCTCTCTCTCCTCCTCTTCCACTCCTCTAGGCTCGTTTATTACAGAGTTTAGGTATACAGTCTGTTCTCATTACTGATGGTAAAACTCCAATTAATATGATTGGGAACCAGACAGGTGGCTATGCTACTACTTATGCTCCTTAGAAAACTCTTTGGGAGGACTTTATTATTATTATTATTATTATTTGTGTTAGTCATTACTAGTTTTTAGCTGGATTTATATAGTTTTCAGAGATATTATTATTTTCTATTGAACACGAAAATTGACGGTATACACAGGCTCCTAGGACTCCAACAAAGTTTTTAAAATGGACTGCACGAAAAAGTTTATGATGTGGTATAATTATCGCTTTAAAGTTTTAATTTAAATGACCACAAAATTAGATATAACTATACTAGACACAAATGAGGAGCTAACAGTTAAAATTAATAATGGCAATAAAATTAAAGAGTTTTAAATTAGTTTCCAACAACAACGGTTTCGGGACATTTCTTGGGGACACACACTGGCAATCTTCCTATAACGAGGGAACTTCTTAAATTGTTGTCTTCGGTGCATGGCAATTCTAGACTTATTTGCCAGGTTTCCTTCTTCGTGGGATTGATTGCCTCGCAATTGTATTCCATTTCTCGGAGTAAGTCTTGCTCTAGAGTCCAAAGAAGCTGTTCCTTTTAGTGTTTGGTGCAATAGTCACCGCATTTTATATAGACTAAAACAAATCATTGTGCTGTCAAAGGGCCTGCTGTGCCCCATATCAACCTTGAAGGCACTTATGGTCGAGCTAATATGGTCCATTGGTCCTATGAGAAGCGCTAAGTCAGAAAATTTGAACTGTTTTCCGTTTTCCTATGGTTTTCCTGACTTCTCCAAGACTTTGACGCTTTCTATTATGCGCATGGCTGTTAGCTGCTGCTGTCGTTCCACTGGGTTCTCCTTCCTCTGGTAGTGTTGCCGACCGAGCAGAAGAGAGCCATCTACTATACTATATCCCAGTTGAGTTTGGGACAAGAAAAACTGGAATAACTTTTTATAGGAAGGTGGGATAAGGATGAAACTTTCACAGGTTCTTAGTCGCCAAAGTCCATCAAAATCTGTGAAAT